CTGTATCACACAGTGGCCAGAAATAGCAGTGCCATCAGGAGGTCCAGCAGTGGGGGCCAGGACATTAGAAGCCCTCCCACTGTTGACCCCCCCAAGCACCAAGATGACAGAGCATCACTTGCCCCAGAGTCCCTATCTATTCCTTGTGGCTAATAGCCACTGATGGACCTCTAATCCATATGCTTATCTAATTCCCTTTTGAAGCCGTCCATGCTTGTAGCCGCCACCACAGTGAATCAGATCCATGATCCATCAAGGTCCTGATTCTACAGGGATGTTCTAGCCTGATCCTGCATTGAGCAGGGGGTAGGACTAGATGGCCTGCATGGGCCCTTCCAACTCTGAGATTCTATGATTCTAGGAAGGTCAGTGTCGTCAACTCTGGCTGGCAGCAACTTTCCAGGGTCTCAGCCTGAGGTTTCTTCACATCACCTGCTGCCTGGTCCTTTTCAACTGGAGAAGATGGGGACCTTCTGCATGCAAAGCAGAGGCTCTTCCACCGAGTCACGGACCCTACTATCGATGGGGTCTTTGCGGGAGGGGGAACATAAGAACATAAGAGAAGCCAATGTTGGATCAGGCCAACGGCCCATCCAGTCCAACACTGTGTCAACAGTGGCCAAAAATACCAGGTGCCACCAGGAGGTCCAGCAGTGGGGCCAGGACACTAGAAGTCCTCCCACTGTTGACCCCCCCAAGCACCAAGAATACAGTGCATCACCTGCCCCAGACCAAGAGTTTCTATCTATACCTTGTGGCTAAGAGCCACTGATGGACCTCTGCTCCATATATGTTTATCCAGGGGTCATTTCGTAGAAAAAGAGGTGCAGGAGCTCATTAGCATAACTTATTTGCATATGCCACACCCCCTGACATCACTGGAAGTGTGTCAGAAGACAACACCCACCACTCAGGCTCCACTGGACTGTTTTGGATTGCTAGCTATTGGGGGGGGGGAATGTGCAGATCTGTCCTCGTAGAGGAGGGAGAGCTTGTACCTGAATAAAACTTGGTCTTAAAGGTGCCACTGGACTGTTTTGGCACCGGGGGCCGGGGGGAGCTCTACAGCTTACCTGGCTACTGCTTGCTCTGACTGAGGGCTGCTGGGAGCAGGGGACGGGGCTTGTTGCATGTGCCCGCCCCCTGGGCTCTTTACTGCCGGAGCTCCGCTCCTGTGTGCTCCTGCAGGAAATGACCCCTGTGTTTATCCAATCCCCACTTGAAGCCGTCCATGCTTGTAGCCGCCACAGGAAAGCAGCCGCGTACGCTCAGTTATGGCCAGGTCCAAATCCACCTAAGAGCCCCTCTGTCCAGTTTCTGACTGTCACTTCCACACTGTCATTTTTGTCACTCGTTGGTCCCTATTGCTTTGGGTCGTGTCCCCCCCCCCTTCCACGTGTTTTGCTCTCTCTGGGACTACTAGGGAGAGCAAAACACTTTTTTGGGGGGGGGACTCCGAAGCAGCAGGGACAAATGAGTGACAAAAATGACAGTGTGGAAGTGGCCCGAAGAGAGGGCAAAAAGCGGCAGGACGAAAATCAACTCCCCAAGGAACAAAGGGGGGATGTCAGAGCAGATGAAAGCCGGGAGGTGAGAGAGCAGCTGGAGAGATTTGGAAGGGAAGGGAACTGAAGGACTTCAGCACCTCACCTGCGATGAATGTAGTTTAATAATATGCATCTCTACAGCCTTGGAGTGTTCAGAGCATTTCACGTAACAGCCCCGAGAATACTTACAAACAGCCCTATAAAGCAGGCCAAAATTAGTATGGCCTACAGAGGGAGCTGCGGTGGCTCAAGTGGTTAAGACACTGAACTGCAGGCTGTGGAAGGTCGGTAGTTCAGCAGTTCGAGACCCGAGTGTGCCGCATGACGGAGTGAGCTCCCATCTCTAGTTCCAGCTCCTGCCAACCTAGCAGTTCGAAAGCAAGAAATTGCAAGTAGATAAATAGGTACCACTTCGGTGGGAAGGGAACAGCGTTCCATGCGCCTTGGTGTTTAGTCATGCCGGCCACATGACCATGGAAACGTCTTCGGACAGCGCTGGCTCTTCGGCTTTGAAACGGAGATGAGCATCGCAACCCTAGAGTCGGATTCGACTGGCTTTCGAGCAACGGAACCTTTACCTTTTTACAGAGGGATGGGGGGCTATGGTGGCTCACTGGTTAAGACGCTGAACTACAGACCGGAAGGTCTGTAGTTCGGCAGTTCAAGATGCGAGAGCCACATGATGGAGTGAGCTCCCATTTCTGGCCCCAGCTCCTGCCAACCTAGCAGTTCGAAAGCAAGAAATTGCAAGTAGATAAATAGGTACCACTTCGGTGGGGAGGTAACAGCATTCCGTGCGCCTCGGTGTTTAGTCATGCCGGCCACATGACCACGGAAACGTCTTCGGACAGCTCTGGCTCTTCGGCTTGGAAACGGAGATGAGCACCGCAACCCTAGAGTCGGATTCAACTGGCTTTCGAGCAAGGGAAACTTTTACCTTTACAGAGGGATGAAGAGATTGCAATTCACCAAGTGAATTCTGAACGAAGGGAAGATTCAAACTGGGGGTCCTCTCACAAACATTTATCCATCTTGTCGTGATAACTGACTCGTGCATAAACAGAAACAGGCAAGACTCAAAGTAAGCTCTCAGGCTTTGGCACATTTAGCATAGAGAATGACCAGATGTTAATGACCAGACATTGGCCTCTACCACAGCAGAAAGACAAATGCAGATCTGGACAGAACAAAAATCTCAAGCACTCACTACAGATCAGCGTCTCCCTTCTTTTTTTCAGGGTTAAAACTGGACAGGCACATCGTTGTTCTCTGAATGTTCTGGTTGGCTCTTGGAATAACAGGTTTTTGCCCTCCTTGCAACTGGATGGCAGCCCAAAAAAATGCCTCTCGCCCCAAGCGCCTGTTTATCTAATTGTGTAGAGATGGGACTGCGTGGTCAGCACTATGGGAATTTTGCAGATTCCCTTTCATCCGTCAGTTCTAATGCTGGTCACATGAAAGGATTCCGGTGCGTTCACGGGATGACAATGCTGCCCGCAAATCAGTGGAGGTGGAATCAGTACTGTGTGGCAGGGGTCCCCCAACCTTTTTGACCCTGTGGGTACACTGGGAATTCCGAGATGGCGTGCTGGGCACAGCCACAAAGTGGCTGCTGCGGAAACACCCACACGAAACTGCCTTACGCTGAATCAGACCGTCAGTCTGTCAAAGTCAGTGTGGTCTACTCAGACTGGCAGCGGCTCTCCAGGGTCTCAGGCAGAGGTCTTTCCCATCCCCGGCTGCCAGATCTTAGAATCCTAAAATCATAGAGTTGGAAGGGGCCATACAGACATAAGAACATAAGAGATGCCAATGTTGGATCAGGCCAAAGGCCCATCCAGTCCAACACTCTGTGTCACACAGTGGCCAGAAATACCAGTGCCATCAGGAGGTCCACCAGTGGGGCCAGGACATTAGAAGCCCTCCCACTGTTGACCCCCCCCCAAGCACCAAGATGACAGAGCATCACTTGCCCCAGAGTCCCTATCTATACCTTGTGGCTAATAGCCACTGATGGACCTCTGCTCCATATGCTTATCTAATTCCCTTTTGAAGCCGTCCATGCTTGTAGCCGCCACCACTTCCTGTGGCAGTGAATTCCATGTGTTAATCACTCTTTGGGTGAAGAAGTACTTCCTTTTATCTGTTCTAACCCGACCGCTCAGCAATTTCATGGAGTGCCCACGGGTTCTTGTATTGTGAGAAAGGGAGAAAAGTACCTCTTTCTCTACCTGCTCTTTCCCATGCATAATCTTATAAACCTCAATCATGTCACCCCTCAGTCGTCGTTTCTCCAAGCTAAAGAGCCCTAAGCGCCTTAACCTTTCCTCATAGGGAAAGTGTCCCAACCCTTTTATCATTCGAGTTGCCCTTTTCTGCACTTTTTCCAAAGCTATAATATCCTTTTTAAGGTGTGGTGACCAGAATTGCACACAGTAGACCATCTAGTCCAACCCCCTGCCCAATGCAGGACCAGCCTAAAGCATCTCTGGCAAATATCTGCCCAGCCTCTTCTTGAAAGCTGCCAGTGAAGGGGAGCTCACCACCTCTCTAGGCAGCCGATTCCACCTTTGAACCACTCTGACCGTGAAAAGGTTTCTCCTGATATCCAGCCAATACCTTTCTGCATGTAACTTAAACCCGTTGCTTCGGGTCCTATCCTCTGCTGCCAACCGGAACAGCTCCTTGCCCTCCTCCAAATGACAGCCTTTCAACTTTCAACTGGAGATGCCAGCAATGTTCCCTCTAAGGTGTGGAGTCTTGTAAGCAAAATTCTACTTTGTGAGCCACTGGCATTAAAGTTGTGAGCAAGCGATTTGGTTACTGCATAAATTAGTTTGCTTCGGAGCCATTCTTCCTGAGCTAAGACAAAAATCTGTGAGCTGGAGGCTAAAAAGCTGTGAGCTGGCTCACACTAACTCAGCTTAGAGGGAACACTGGATGCCAGGGATCGAACCTGGGACCTTCTGCATGCCAAGCAGATGCCCTGCCGCTGAGCCAGGAGGGAAAGCGAGCCACAAAATAGCTGCTGCAGTTTACCTTCAGTCACACAGTGAAGATCCTTGTGCTGTGGTGGCGGCGGCTACCAAAACAGCCTTTGAACGAACCTGAACAGCCAATCCAATCTCCAACATCCAATCAGAAGCCTTGCTGGGCAGAAGCCCCACCTGGCCCTGCCTACTTTCTAAGAACCCTTGGTGGCAGGTGCCGTGGTTCCTACAGGCACACTTGGGGGATCCCTGCTGTGTGGGATTTGTCCTGTTCTGGGAGCCAGGGGGGGTACAACAATACGATAGCTTAATTTCCCAAGACGAACTTTAGTTTCTCTTGCTGCCCACTAGAGAACCGCCAGGCTGAAGAGCTGTCATGCTTCTCAGATGTTCTGAGCTCCCCGTCCGCAGTTGAAACGGACCACTGGAAAAGCACTGCCCGGAAGTCCTTCCCCCTCCTTACCTGCCGCAAAAGCCGAGCACATCACAAAGAACATCCCGACTGCAATCCTCTTCAGAGACGAAGGCAGCAGGCCGTTCCTCTTCAAGATGGGGTCAACGACTTTATCTTTCAGAGGTATCAGGAAGAGAATGAGCACCGCATCGAACATGGTCAGCCACGCGGCCGGGAACTGGGGGGGAAAGAGAGAACGCCGTATTCTGTAAGTCTGATTTGCAGGCCTTTTTTAAAAAAGAAAAGACGTACTCTCCCCCCACCCCACCCCCATCCCAGTTAGGTACTGAAAAACATCAAATGCGTTCGGTGCCCAGCAGCTAAGCAACTACAACGCGTTCTAGGAGTACCTCCTCTCCTGAGTGAATTTTGTTAACATTCAGTTTCAGTTCAAAAGTTCCAGTTTCTGCCACGGTTTCGCCCCACTCGGGACAAAACCGCAGCTGCCTCCTCTAATGAAACCCGATAGCAGTTTCAGAGAAGTGCCCATGTTGGTCCACGGGAGAAGAGCCCGTTTCAAATCCAGTAGCCCTTTAGAAACTGATTAGATATCCAGGGCATACGTTTCTGAGAGTCAAAGCCCCCTTTGTTAGATAGTAGCATTACTGTTAAAATATCTTCTTTATTGTGAGACACTTGTGTTTTCTGTGTTTCTGTTCTTTTTGCAGCTCAGTTATCCATGTGAGGACCTGAACGCAGGCCTTCAGACCTGAATGCAGCTTAGTCTTAAATCACTGGCCATGTCCCCTTCCTCCCTGCATCAGAAAAAAACCCCTGGATTTTAAGAAAATACCTTCCCACCCCTATAGTTTGTTTTTATCCCAACTTTCAGTCAAAAATTCTATTCCGAGGTGCCCCTTGGGAATCAAAAGGCAACACACATGACAATTAGTAAAGGTAAAGGTTCCCTTGCTCGAAAGCCAGTCGAGTCCGACTCTAGGGTTGCGGTGCTCATCTCCGTTTCAAAGCCAAAGAGCCAGCGCTGTCCGAAGACGTTTAGTGGTCATGTGGCCGGCATGACTAAACACAAAGGCGCACGGAACGCTGTTACCTTCCCACCAAAGCTGTACCTTTTTATCTACTTACAATTTCTTGCTTTCGAACTGCTAGTTTAGCAGGAGCTGGAACTAGAGACGGGAGCTCACTCCGTCATGCGGCAACCCGGGTCTCGAACTGCTGAACTACTGACCTTCCACAGCCTGCAGTTGAGCGTCTTAACCACTTGAGCCACCGCAGCTCCTAACATGACAATTACAGTTCAGTAAAATGTCTGTTGCCCTGACCTGGCTGGCCCGGGCTAGCCCGATCTCGTAAGATCTTGGAAGCTAAGTGGAATGGGCCCTGCTTAGTCCTTGGACCGGAGACCACCGAGGAAGCCTAGGGTTGCTATGCACCACCTCTCTGTCTCTTGCTTTGAAAACCCTACCAGGTCGCCGTTAAGTCAGCTGTGACCCAAGGACACTTTCTACCACTACCAAAATGTTAGTTCAGGAAGAAGAAGAGGAGATTGGATTTATACCCAGCTCCTGCCAGCGTTCCGTGCGCCTTGGTGTTTAGTCATGCCGGCCACATGACCACGGAAACGTCTTCGGACAGCGCTGGCTCTTCGGCTTTGAAACGGAGATGAGCACCGCAACCCTAGAGTCGGACTCGACTGGCTTTCAAGCAAAACTTTACCTTTTACCTTCACTACCCAAAGGTGTCTCAGAGCGGCTTACAAACTCCTTTCCCTTCCCCTCCCCACAACAGACACCCTGTGAGGTCGGCAGGGCTGAGAGAGCTCTTGATAGAAACTGCTCTTTTTTCAAGAACAGCTCTTATCAGAGCCATGGCTTGCCCAAGGTCATCCAGCCAGGTGCAAGTGGAGGAGTGGGGCATCAAGCCCGGTTCTCCCAGATTAGAGTCCGCGCACTTAACCGCTACACCAAACTGGAGGAGGGGATTCTCAGCTGGTTCGTTTCACTCCTCTTTCCGAGGAGACCACAGATGGCAGCCAAAAGCATTGGGGGGGGGGGGCGCCTCTCAACTGGAACTGGGTCCAGAGATCAGTGAGAGGTTCTAGCTGCTTCCTGCCCCCCTCCGATGTTCTATAATGGGTGGTCAGGTCCTCTCTGGCCACCAGCAGGGGATGGGGGGTAGGGCTGCCAGATCCAGGTTGGGAAATTCCTGGAGATTTGGGGATGGAGTCTTAGGAGGACAGAGACCTCAGTGGGCTACAATGCCATAGAGTCCACCCTCCAAAGCATCCATTTTCTCCAGGGGAACTGCACTCTGTAGTCTGCAGATGGGCTGTACTTCCAGGGGATCCCCAGGTCCCACCTGGAGGCTGGCATCCCTCTGATGGTCTCATGCAATTTCACCGAGAATGAACCAAAACCTGCCTTTCCCCCCTTCCAATCAGAAACTACACGCCATTGGAGACCTTTTCAGCTTGCGATTTTTAACAACTGGAGTATCGAGCATTCTGAATCTATTTTCTGACAATGCAAAAATATATCCCCCCTTCCCCGTAAAGTAGCCAGAAGGGCAATAAAACAGCATCAGTTCTACTGGGGGGGGGGGAGCCAAATCAAGCAGTCTCAAGAGAGTGAGGGCAATTAATGCTCAACGCAAGATGTGCTAGCTCTGCTTATCTTGAAATCCCGGCTAATAGAACACGATCATCATGCTGGAGGCTTAGATGCCATTAAGCCCAATTAATCACGGAAACACCTGTCTGCTGAATGATGGATTATGCCACTCATTTCTGATAAACAAAGCCCCATAAAATTATTGAAATAAATACAAACAAAGATGGCTTTTTAATGGCTGTCAGACCTCATATCGGAGGCGCCTGTGACGGAAAGCAATTGAAGGTCAATTAGGTATTCCCCAGCACTCCCGCTCGCCTTGGAAAATGCAAGCGCCTAAATGATTCTCCCTAACTGTTTTGTGGAACTACAAAGCCGGACTCTCACGTTGCCACTTCGGTCATCTTCAGTATGTCCAATTCTCCATGTGGCCCTACCTGCGGATACTTAAATCTGCTGAATGGGGCCATGCAGAGAGAAGGGAGATTTTTCTACAGACTTGGGGGATCCCCCAGGTTTGCAGAAAAAATGCAAAAAGCTTTTTTTTAAAAAAATGAAGGGGGTAAATTTCCCCCCAGCAAAGGAACGTTGTTTGCACTTCAGCATCCACCCTCCTCACCATGTGTGGAAGACATTGGAGGGGGAGCCGCTGCTTCAGACAGATAGGACGGGGAGGGCAGCAGGAGCCGCCACTCCAGTCTCTGCAGAGTGGTAGGGAGGAGGACAGACAGGTGAGATTCCAACCCCCCATTTTGCAAGTGAGGGGAAGAATGGGAGCACGTGCCGCTACATCAACCAGGCTTGTTGAGGTGATGGAGCTGAGGGTCAGAAAGTGAAGAGGGGACAGGATGTGATCCTCCTTCATGAGTCTCGCATGGTCTCGATTTGTTTCTTCTAATAGTAAGACAGCCGACACCCGTTTCCACCACGAAAGTAGAATGGTGGTCTGGTCTGCCCACAGGTAGGGGTTTCTACATATTTGGGGGAATTCCCAATGTATGCAGGGACAATGACTTGGGCAATTTAACCAGAACTTGAGAAATGGTCTGAGGACTGAGCATGCTCCAGGAGGCCTGAAATGTTGAGAGCGGCAGGGAATCAGCTAAAGAAGGGGAAAGGAAGAGAGGAAAACAGCCCATGCAAGCCCTTGAAAACCTATCAGATTCTAGAGGGAAAGATTTTGTAGGGTTGGGTTAGGACTTCCAAATGATTCTCCCGATCATGGGCTTCCAGCTTCATTATCCTTTTGGAATGCTTGGTACCCAATATGTAAAAGTGGAAGGGGTAAAACAGGGAGCGTTGGGGCAGGAGGAGGAGGAGGAGGAGGAGGAGGAGGAGAGATTGGATTTATACCCCGCCCTGGGAATCAAACCCGGTTCTCCCAGATTAGAGTCCACACACTCAACCACTACACCAAAGACAACAATGCCAGGAAAAGTTGAAGGCAGGAGGAAAAGAGGAAGACCCAACCTGAGATGGATTGATTCAACCAAGGGAGCCACAGCCCCCAGTCTGCAAGCCATGAGCAAGGCTGGATGCAAAATTTACCTAATGCTGTTGAAAGTTATACTAATCCATTGAATTTTTTAAATAAAGTTTGTTTCTATCTGTCAACAAGAGAATGCATAAATCCAAGAATCACAGAATAAGAGTTGGAAGGGGTCCTACAGGCCATATAGTTGAACCCCCTGCTCAATGCAGGATCAGCCTACAGCATCCCTGAAAAGTGTTTGTCCAGCTGCTGCTTAAAAGCTGCCACTGTGGGGGAGTTCACATCATCTCCATAGGTAGCTTTTATAAACCGTGTTATATAATTTTGCTTTTATAAACACTGTTAGATGAGCTATCCCTCCATTGTATTTTTTGCTGCCCTTCCGCCAACACGCTCAGGGCAGGATAATTGATTCTCTCTTCCATTTCTCTTTCACAACAATCCTATGAGGATGGTACGCTTTAGAGGTGGAGAGAAAGAGATTAATCCACGGCCACTTGGAGACCTTCATGGCAGAGTAAGGATTTGGATTTAGGACTCACCAGCCCTAGTGATACGTACTAACGGCGAAACACCACTATCAGCTGCTTAAACCTGTTAATGGGGCTGACATCTCCACTGGTCTAATTAAGTTCGTTCTTCAAATATACTCGATCGTCATCGGATGGGCCAATGGACTAAAACCGTTTTCGACTGGCCTATCGGCCAACCCTAACTGCCAAAATCAAACCGCTAACTTTGAATTGCGTTGACCTGCTGTGCGTTTAGCCAATTCCACTTTCAAATCTTGCAGATATAAAACAAGACGTGGAAACAAGACGGGGGGGGGGAAAAAAGAGCCCCATCCCCCCCATCCCCCCCCCCCCTTGATTCCCCGGGGGGGCGGCAGC